TGTGTGTGTCCGTGTGTGTGTGTGTGTGTGTGTGTGTGTGTGTGTGTGTGTGTGTGTGTGTGTGTGTGTGTGTGTGTGTGTGTGATCAGAATGCGTGAATGAACGAAATGTCGTTCTATTTGTTCCTTTCAAGGTACAGTTCATCCTTCGAATGCACGGTGTCGCCGTCAGCAATGAACACATCATTCCATAGACATTACAAAACCCTTGTCCCATTAACATAACACATCCCCGTGAACACAACATATGCCCAGAACAAAGACGGTTGTCCCATCGCCCACAAAATACACGAATCCATTGTTTGAATGAAAAAGAAGAACAACGTTGTTTTCCCTTGTCAATTGGAACATGACTTTGAAGCGCGTTAAAACCAATCAGCGTGTACAGAACCGAAGCTTCCGCTTCTTCATAGTCCACAACGAATGCAGGAAGAGGACGCAGCGAAAGTAAACGGAAAGTGAAGGACGATTACGAAATGATATACACGGCGCTGACAGCGAAATACACAAAGGCGTCTGTCCTCCTACAAAGACACGTGCCGTCCACTTGACAACCTAAATAGTAGACACCGAACGACGCAAACTAGGTGCACTACCAACCGATCGATCGTCGGTGGTGTGGGTGTACAAGACGGAAAATCGATAGAATACAAACCACGGAAAATAAGGATAGGAAGCGCGACTCCCAGCGTGAAAGCCCCGGCAAAGGACGCAACAGCGATGGTGGCATCGCGACGGCAATCGATACAGTCTCCCCGCTGCAGATACCCACCCTCGCTGCCATCATCATCTTCGTCGTCGTCGTCATCATCAAAAAAAGGGGGTCTCGTTCTGGCGATCCAGTCCATGTTGCACTGCCACCATCTTCACCTTTGTCTTCGTCTTTCCCCCATCGTCATGATCTTTGTGCGCACAGATGACGCACCCTCGCACCCGACGTTTACTAAACCCTTCCACGAACGATCGCCCGCCCTCGCCGGCAGTCCATCCACTTCCACTCCCACTATCACCCGCCCTCGGCGCCATCAACATCGTCGTCGTCCAAGTCTTCCTCCTCAGGGGGGCCTGTGCCGAGCCAATCCGTCTTCGTTGCTTCCATCGGGGAGGACAAAGTCGCGTCGTGATTGAACATGACGCCGCACTTCGATGCCCAGTCGGGGATGTACAGTGGGAGGGGAGCGAAGGTCGGAGACGGTCTTCCCAGTTTCTCCGTCATCACAGTTGCGGCTAGCAAGACATGACGACGGGAGTCAAAATGGCGATCCATGGCAGCAAGAAGGGTGGTCTTCGATGTCAACTGCACGAAAACCCAGGCGTCGAAGTGCGATCTTGCATCGTCCCCAGCCATCCTCATTATCCACGCCGCCMCCGCCAGCAAGTACCTCATCGCCTCCGCCAGGGATTTCAGGCGCTCGTAAGACACACGCCCCGAGTCCATCGCCTGCGCCGCCTCCACCACATTCGTGAAATCGCGCACCAAACGTTGAGCGATGACCTCCTGGTAAGCCGCGCACTCGTCGTCCTGGTGCCTGTCCACCACGTTCGCTCCGACGAGCCACAAAGGGAGCTTCACACCCAACTCCAGCGTGTTTCGAATCGCCATCGGGCTGACTAACGAAAGTCATTCCTCCAATGCCCACATCGCTCTTGCCATGTCAGTCGCCGCGTGGTTCAAGGCGTACTGGTACGCCAAGTGATACCCCTTGTGTCTGATGTCGGACTTGAAAATCCAGCCGTGGATGGCCCTCTTCGCAATGCTCTCCACCTTTAACGCCCTTTCCTTCGCCGCCCTCAACTCCGAGGCGTCTTCGATCTTCTTCTGCGGAATGGAACTATGGGGGAGGCTGATGCTCCTTCGGATCGCCGATGGCTGCACCCCCGTCGCCACATCAAAGAGGTGAACTCGGGCTTCGTGCATGATGTCGATGATTTCTTTTCCCCGCGTTTGATTCCATAACCGAATGTTGTCGGTCCATCGCCTCGCGGCCACCTCCATCGCTTTCGCCTCCGGACGTTGCCCGCGAAGCTTCATCACTAGCGGTTCGTCGTCTTCGCCCGCCGCCCCGCCATCGCCTGCCTTCGCAACGTCCGCCACGGCTGATGCACCCTGAACTGCCTCCCCGCGCGGCTGCGGCGCAGGGGAACGCATCGTCGACTGGTCGGCCACAGCTTGGGAACTGCTAGCCACGCCAACAGCCTGTTCGCTCCGCTTACTCGACGGCGTCTGCTGCTGATCAGGAGCCACCTCCGCAGCGCCCACCCCCCCCGTTTCGATCCGTATCGCACCCCCCGTTCTCTGCTTCACTTTCCTCACGAGAGTCTGTTTGTCTACTTCTTCGAAGTCGTCGTCCTCCTCCTGTCTCTCMTGTGCATCCACCCAATCWGCCTCCACCTCTSTCCCAACTGCGGYCTTCCCRCCTTGRACGCCCCTTCTTCTCTTCGWGGGATCGTGGCGACCTTTCTTCGGTGCGACCTYGCCTTCCYTGACTTGTTTCCCAAGRACTCTCCGAGATGGAACGGAGCGAGAAGACATTGCGTGTCGTGTGTTGAAGATGGAATGGAAGGCGCGTAAGAAGAACGTGGATCCGTCGACCTCGGAGATGGCGGCGAGAAGATCTTTCTGCGGCGCTCAGTACCACACAGCGAGTGGTGGTTGATGGCGGCGAGAAGATACGATGGCGCGACACACGATAGGAAGGTCGTCGGTGTTTATACTGGCGGAGGTTTCAGGCAGCGACGAGATTAGATGGCGGCGCACATAGAGCACGCTTGATGGCGAGTAATGTCGAAGTAGGCGAGAAGATTACTTGGCGGCGCTCGCAAAACACGGCGATAAAACAGCGATGGCACCGACGGTGATACTGGCGAAATTCAAGGCGGCGAGATGATGTCTTGGAGGCGCGCATGAAAGAGGCGGGGGGGCGTTGGGGTGGCGGTGAGAAGATGTCCTGGAGGCGCGCAGAAGCTACAATGAGACGGCGAAAGTACGACGCCTCGCGAACATGACACGCACGCTTTCCGATGACTGCGGTGTGGCCCGATGCCTCGGTACTTATAACGAAATGGTGGTCGTGGGGGCAGGGCAGGAGTGATGGCGCGCTGTCGTTTGGCAATCCGCAGTTTGTATGTTTTCCCCAAAACACGGCGGACAACAGTCAACCATCGTGCCCACTTGCATCGGGCAACAAGACAACCAATAACCAAAAAAGACGACATCGTGGGACAGCAACCCCCCTCCATGAATAACCTAGGCCTGCCAAACCCCCACCCTGCCCGCCGAACGCAACCCCCCAGAGCCGACCACGCCCCCCTCCCTGTCTCCATCAGCAATGCGACGGGCAGCGAAAACAAAACGAGAAAAGGCGACGTCCCTACGAATGCACGCCCCGTACAAGGAACCTCCGATAACCACAAATTCGAGTACGTACAAAATTGAAAGAACTTCATTCGCATCATGATTATCAAATGAAGACAAGCATGGAGACATTTCATTGCAATCATCTTATACAAAACACAAAAACCTTCCATAGCTCGTTTGTTTTTATCTGTGCCAGACTGAAGAGAGAGAGAGAGAGAGAGAGAGAGAGAGATCTCACACCATAACAACAGTCGAAGACGGAAGAATTGAGGGCCAACACTTTAACAAAAAGGAAAGTGCTTTCTGCACTATCGAAATTCAAATTCAATTCATTGAATGATGGGATCACCCGTCTCGTACCATGTCAAAGAAAACACACACAAAGTCGGCCGACTGATGCACCCAACCGGCGTAATACAACACTACAAAGACCACCAACGACAGCAATCGATGAGGACACCTTGCCGACGAAGCCGACTACAACGGGAAGTCTCCAACTATCCACCGACTACTAAATTCCAGGGAGCAAGTGCTACACAACACAATGCCAATGAAGGCTATCGCTCGCGAATAGCCTTTGCTATTTCCAACAACGCATGGCACATGCGTTTGCTGACTTCATCGGACGCGGCGTAGTGCGTCTTTTGCACCTGCACTTCAGCTTCTAATGCCTCACATTGTCGTAGCTGAATGTTGCATTGCCGCTTGCTGACACTCTCCATCGTGGCCGCCATCAACACACCGTGCTTGTCCATGCACTCCGTCATTGCTTCGAACGTCTGCTGCCGCGTGCTCTTCCTCTTTCCGAAACCATGGGGGCTGCCCGACGTCTGGGAGGAACCACGAGTCGATCCCTCGTCCTCATCTTCCCCCCCCGCACCGACGTCGGTATCACCAACTGCTTCAGGATCAGCAGTTGTCGTCGACGGCAAACGCACACCGCCGCAGGCACCAGTGTCGGCAACGTTTTTGGGGTTGATGGTTTCGTTGAAACCGCTGGACCCTTCAATCTCGTCGTAAACGGCGTGGTCCATGTTGAAATTGAAGCCGTGTCTCGCCCTCTCCTTGCCGTTTAACTAGAAGAAGTCGATTCCCCCGAACGACGATTGAAAATGATGAACTTTCTTGAATTGCTGCATGAGGTTGTCCCACTTCTTCCCGCATTTCTCCGGCTTCCTGTCGACACCCACATTCTTCAATCTTCTGGCGACGTCATTCCATTTCCACTCCCTCGGCTTCATCCGGGCATAGGCATGCCCCATCCCCTGCAAATGCGCATCCTGATCGTGTTTCGCCCGTATGAGCGCGATGATATGTTCGACACTCCAAGAGTTTCGCTTCTCCTCTGCATCGCCGTCGCCTTCTCCGTCGTTCGCCTTTGCTTGCGCTTTCTTCGGCCGCCCACGGCCGTTCCCGATGGTCGCCTTCGTCTTGCCGCCGTTCCCCCCCCCCCGTTGTTGTTTTGCGATGGCGAGGTGTAACCGCTGTTCCCGTCTCCTGCCTCTCCTGCGCCGTCGTCGTCGTCGTCTTCGGACGGAAGCCCCGCATGTGGCTCCTCAACTTCTTCTGCCTCCCTGTCCATCCTCAGTCGCTCCACCCCCCGCCTGATTGCTTCCTCTCGCCCCTCCCTGATCTTCCGTCGCTCCTCCGCCCACACTAACCGCCCGTCGAGGTCGTCAACGACGTCGTCCAAGTACCCCCCCCCTCCTCGACAATGCCACGTCGACGTCCCAGGTTGGACGCAGCACACACCGGAGCCGGGGATTGCATAAACGACGGACGACCTTGCGTGCTCCTGGAGATGGAAGTCGCTCGTCACTGCCACTGCTGTGCGCCTGCAGATTTCGATGATCGGTCCACAGCGGTTAACTGCCCGCCGTCGTCACCGACATGGGGATTGACGATCACTGTGCGCGTCTGGCTTCCACACCTCCCTGTAGACAGACCGGAAGACAAGTTCGATCCGCCATGCCCTTCTTCCCCGTCGAGACCCGGCGCCAGCAGTTCAGTGAAGGACTGGCCGTGCACGCCACCACTGCCGCCGCACAGCTCCGTCCGAGACCATTCCTGAGTAGAACCACTACCCAACGGAACAGTGCGTGCCCGTCCCTCCCTCTCCTCCTCATCAGATGAGTCAGGGAGGGGTTGCAAATGCGGCGGCAGTGATGAATTACCGACCCCCAACGACAACTTGCAAGCCGGTGAAGAACTCCCAACGACACGCCTGCTCACAACCTGCTCCCCTCCTCCCCTGGGGGATCCCTGTCCACTATCCATCTTGACGGCCTTCATCGGCGAAGTTCGTCTGCGTCGACGCCGCGGCGCGCTCCCGATGAAACACACGTGCAACACTACGACGACGACCGGTAGGAAGATGGCGAGAAGCAGCAGCGGGAGCTTGCGAAAGTTGTCAGCCATGCGACGGACGACGGCAACGGCACTAGAGGGAAGAGAACACGGCCGACAACGTAACTGCGACGTCCTGCACACGGTGACACGCGCTTGGCGACAAACGGAAGCTGTAGTCTTCTGGACACGCTGTGCCGCCTCAAATATTCGCATTTGCCGACCGTTGGCCGGTTTCCTGCCACGGCTGAAGCCCAACCCCGAGTTGCAACGTGGTGTGCACCTTGGGGATGCTACCGGCCCGCTAACGGTTACCGTTGGCGTGGACATCGGGCCTCTTGAACGTTGGCGACCCAACATGTCCGTGCGCAAGTCGCCCGGACCACCGATGGACCAGACGCCGCCGACAAAAGAAGTCGACTGAGGTGCCGTCGAAGAGCGGGTTCTTCCCGATGGGGGAGCTCCGAGGATCCTACCGGAGGTTCCTTGGGGAAATTTGAAAATTGCCTGTGCCCCGAGGAATCCCCGAGGAATCCCCGAGGAAATGTTTTCACTTTTTTTTTTCTTTTTCTTTCCCCAAGGACAAGTGGAACGACGATTTCCTTGGGGGATTTTGGCGCCCGAGGAGTGTCAAACGAGCCCCTTAATTACACACCAGAGCCAGACAGCCGAAGAAAGTCGGACAACAAATTTGAGCCAAATGCTGCTGAGCACACTTCAGCCTATAGAGTCTACAATCCTGCCAAGACCACATTAATAAACAAACCCTAATTGCCCACATGTTTGTTTTTTTGACATATCTGGTACCTTGTTGAAGCCTTTCTTTTTTTTTCTTTTTTTTTCCGGGGGGGTGGGGCGGGGTGGGGGGGAATTGGAACCATAACAGTTGACCTGCCATACACCTGAAAGGATCGCCCTTGCACTGGAAATATTTTGCGAAACGGCGACCCCATTTGAGTATACTTCACGTGAGTCTTGAATGATATTCTTGGGCTGTGGCCTTGTGAGATCCACTCCACTTACCCAATTTAAACCACCCCTTCTGCACAGCACATTGTTGCTGTAGCGGCGGTATCGGCAAAGGCCGTGCTTTTTATGTACGGGCCTCCTGGCAGCTGGCCGGGTACATAAACGATGGAAAATTTTCCTTCTGAATCAAGTGAAATCAGGCATGTGTCCTGCAGCTGGGTGGTTCAAACAACAAGTACATTTCCCAGCCATTTTTCTATATGCGCCTTGCATGCTCCCACAACTTTTGCGGGTCAGAAGCTGAACCAAAATGGCTGGTGGCACCAGGCAAAATGATGCCCACGCCAATGCGTTTTTTTTTTTTTTTTTTTTTTTTCCAGTTCGTTTTTGTGGTGCGCAGGGCGTTTGGAGCCCTGGGCAATACAGGCTCGGAAGTACTGGTGGTTTTAAAGCACCAGTGGGCGGCCCAACCAATGAAAGATTGCCCTTAACACGGAGCTGCAGAGAGGATATGAGTTCCAGTTGTGAAAGGCAGGTGGCAGAAGGCGAACAGCACGCTTTTTTTTTTTTTTTTTTTTTTCGCTGTGATGGTTGAACTTCGGATTTTTTGGGGCAAGGCAGTGTAAATACACTCAAAGCCAAAGAAGTTGACGAAATGAGTACAGGGAAGGGAGAGAATAAGACAAAGACAAGGAAAGTAATCAGCTCGAAAAATTATAACGATGAAGCACAAAAATAGAGTAGGCGGTAAGCCGCCATATCCTTGAAGCACAACTGACAATCTCCCGACAGCTGTTTCGGCTGGTGCCAGAACCGGCACACTTTACGCCAGCAACCGCGCACCTGGTTGCGCACAAGGTGGACGAACCGGATTCAACAAACAACCATCCTCAGCCTACATCAACAGAAACAGCAAGGACGGCCGTTGGAACTTGGCACCAGACTGTTGCCACTTGGGACGTCGATTGCAGAACGTAGATCTACAAAATCTAAGGACCACAGCAACGCAATTATTTTCATCCACGTCAAACAAGCATCCACTCGACATCTACGGTTACCTGGATCTGATGTGACAACTTACGCTGGTTGAAGCACGGCCTTGCTGGCCCGTCCGGTACCACTGCTTTGTCCTGCGACAATATAAGTCACAGGCGCTTGTCCAGCCAAAATAGCTTGAGTGCTCTCCCAAGCTGCGCCTTCCGGGCCCCGACCGCTCGCAGCATTCATTGCAAACGCAAACCTGCATGCACGTCGCACAAGGGTCAGGTCCTCAGAGGTCGAGTCCTTTTTTCCCTCGCCTTGATTTGATGAAAGGACTCTCAGGTCGCAGTCCCTCGGGTCTCCCATCGTCAGTCAAGGTCGCACTCCCAGCATCGTCTCTCCAAGTCGGTCAGAAGTCAACGGTTCTTTCGGTCAGTCTTTTCCTGTCAGTCCACACCACCTCGGTAAGTCAGTTCCCACCTACATCACCATGAAGCCATCTGCCTGCAGAATCGGAGACCTACCCCTCCTCCTGCCTAATCCCGTCACCAATCCCAACCCCCATCCGCAGCACACCACATCCGCCTCCCCGTCTACACCTTTTTCCTTCCATTCACTATCCCTCATCAACACACCACTTTTCAATCCATTCCTCCTCTCCTTCTTTCCCTCCAACCTCACAGTCCAGTCATAAGAACCCATCCCCGGCGCGCAATTAGCCACAATCTCCTCCTCCCTCATCACGCCGTTACGTTCTTCCATAACTTTTTACCCGCCACAGCCACCGACGAAAATATCCGGTGTATCTTCGTCCTGGACCCTCCCTCGCCATCTCTTCTCCCATTTCACATTTTTTCCCTCCCTTTCATCCTTCCCAACACCATAACTTCACTGCAATGCACCTTCGGTGAAAGAAGGTACGGATCGAACCTCGTCACTTCCGATTTACTCGAGTTCGCAGAAGAAGCCGCCTTTTGCACCTTTCAAAATGGCGTGCAATCATTTTTCTTTCTCCGACGGGAGCAAGCAATGGAGCTGCTCTCTCACTCCTACTCTAATTTACTTCTCCCACTCATGACCTTTGGCACTCGCAGTCCGAACCTCCTTTCCCCTCAAGAGCAGGTGACGGCAAGCGCGGAGCTGGCAAACTATAAGGAGCAGCACACGCATGATCTGCACATGATGGTCAGCACATCCCCTTCTACTGTTTCTCACTATGCTTGGATTCAGCAAGAGACGACTCCTCCAAGTTCTGGGTTAACGGCGACCTTCTCAGCCTAGTGGAGAACCTGCCCTTCTTTGGAAGGCTACCAGGCTTTATCTCCCCTTTGGCCTTCTTCTTCAAAGGCTTCTTCAACAAGCTCACCAAGGGAGATATCTCCCATCTCCTTCTTCACCAACTTGTACAATCTGGACTGGGACCCTGGTTCAGATTGCTCACGGAAAAAGCCTGCGATAATCAAATCGAGTACCAATCAGCACCGGACTTTCCTAAAGAAGCCTCCTATCCGTCAGAGCCAACACTCTTGTGCCTCATTCTAAAGCTCCAAGACGCAACTCATATCTTCACCTTCGTTGATCAGGACCATCAAGATGCCGCAGAGGAGGAAGGCTAAAGATCCTCTCCCCAAAAGAAGAAAGACTCATCACATAGCTTCGGACTATGCCTCCGAATCCGACTTGCCATCTCCCAATCGATCGATCCCTGTCCAGCAGCTCCTCATAATCCCCCACCCGCACCAATCTGACACCCAAAACCCATCCCCCAGTTCCCTAAACCCTCCCATCCCGAAGGCACCGAGAGTGTAGGAGAATGCAATGTATTTCAGAGGCCTGGATTACATTTTCTCTTTTGCATCATCTCCCTCTTCTTACTCGTCCTCTTCATTTGTTTTCTCCTATTTTTCCGCTCACCTTCCCCCACTCCCTTCCTTCCCCAAAACCCAAGTAAGAGGTATTACTACCTTTGCTACAATTACTGTAAGAATTTAGACTAGTCAAGACGATGTTAGTAATGTGAGCGGCTCGCCACTTGTCCTTTCTTAATTGCTCTATATAATGAATAGGAGGGAACGAGAAAGTAGTAATGTCAAAGGATGGCTAAGCTCCAATTGAGAGACGTTTAAAAAAAAAAAAAAAAAAAAAAAAAAAGGGGGGGGAGGTGGAAGGGTGTAACAAAGGGGTAGGAGCCAGCAAACCCGAAAGATGAACAATCATGAGTCCCCAATTAAGGAGGACAAAATAATGACAAATATGCGAATCTAGCAGAATTTTGTTACTCATTCTTTCCTTTCTTTCTTCTCAGGTTTTTACAAATCTAGTAAAAATTTGCTACTTGATCTTTCCTTTCGTCCTTCTCAGGTTCTTGCATCCGTCTTTTTCTGCTTCCAAGCCCCTAGCCCATCGCTTTTCAAAAAAAAAAAAAAAAAAAAAAAACATCAGTCATTCACACACTACAAGTTTCGAACCAATCCAATCAACCAACTACTCAATCAAGATCGAGTACGTTTCCGATCATCTGATTGACTAATTGGTTGGTAGAAGGACCAACCAATCATATCACTTATCAACCCATCAATCAGCAAGGCTGCAGATAAACTATTCAATACCTTAGCAAACCAACTGATCGGATTGATCCACCCTATCCATCCCCAAAATTCTAACCTGCTCAACCCCTCTGCAAAGATTAGCAAAATTGGCCCACTTAAGCACATGCCGTTCGGCCTAATTTTTTTGTAACCAGTACTAAAGGAAGAATGAAGGAGTTATGACAACTTCAAAGAACCAAAACTAATTCAACTTAAGTCTCCTTACCAAGCATATCCAACGAGATGTCTGCGCACTTAACTCCAGAAGAAAAAAAAAAGAAAAAAAAAAGGACACAAAACCAAATTCAACAACAAACACAATGACGAAACGATCAAGTATGGCAAGAGCAATCAGTGTCTTTGACTTCTCAACTGTTTTTTCGATTTAATATTTTCGCTCAATATCGCTCCTTTGTGCATGCTTCAACCTCTCAACCCCTAATCACATGTAGTACAAGTTTAAAGCAAATCAAACACGTCGGCAAAAAAAAAAAAAAAAAAAAAAAAAAAAAAAAAAAANAAAAAAAAAAAAAAAAAAAAAGGAAAAAAAAGAGGAAACAGACACTGGACCGAGACATGTCAGTGACCTACAAATCATGCAATTTGCTGATGGTTCCTGACCTTCTTCCCTAACAAGAAATTAACCCCTCAACCCCCCTTTTTAAGGATAAATCATCTCTTCAACCCCATGATAGGCATTCATGCCCCAAGTCGCTCGGCCAATGGAGTAATCGATAGAGACACTACTCAATCGATTATACGATCGTTTGAGCAGTCGATCACTCTATCAATTACGCGGTTGATCGAACGATTATCCGAATACA